TAGGGCTTCAAGCTAGAGCTTTGAAGTTTTGATAGCAGTGGTGTTTATTTTTACGACGTGGGATCGCCAGCCTCATGCACCCCCACCCAAACCTTTCTTTGATACTTGCCTTGCTATCGGCTTAGAGAGGCTTAGAAGTTCGTCGGCAGAATAAATTTAACTACCTTACGTTTTCAGCACATATGAGTCAATATAAGATTGTTCAATCATGAACAGAACCCCAAACGATGATTTTAAGAAAAAAGTTAGCGCTATGCTTTGCCAACTAACTCACAACGGGAAAATTACGGAATCCTTCGAACAAGTGAGGACGGGAGTAAGGCAAGTCTGCCTACTATTACCAATGATTTTCCTGATTGCAGTAGATTGGATAATGCGACATACAGCGCGTCTCACAAACTGGAAGATATGAAAATGAAAAGCAATAAGTCGACAGAAGAAGCATCAAAGACAGGAACCTGAAAGAAACAACCTCCTTTACCTACCTGAGAAGTATCGTTTCAAATACAGGCCGACGGAACTGACGAGGATATCAAAGCAGCTAGGATCAAGAAAAGCAAGAGAAGCTTTCATTACTCTCAAGTCTGTGTGGAAGTCAACAACACTCAGCATCAAAATTAAGATCCAGATTTTCAACTCCAATGTGAAGTCAGTGTTACTATGTGGATCAGAGACTTGGTGCGTCATAAAGATCACCTCAAACAAACTAAAGACCTTCATCAGTAGCTGTCTTCGCTCAATACTCAAGATCTGATGAACGGCCAGCAAAGATTAGCAACAGTGATCTCTGGCAATGAGCAAATCAGCGCAGCAGGAACTGATAGTGAAACAAACAGGCATGACAAAATTTAGGTGGATTGGCCACACTCTGAGGAAACCAACCATCAAGTGACATGACTATACAAGCCCTCAAGTGAAACCTGAAAGGGGAGCGGAGAGTTGGTCGTCAATGCAGGGATGACTTGGAGGATGTCATGTGAGGAGGAGATGAAAGCATGTGACTGAAGCCATTTGTTCCTCTAGGAATAAAAGGAAATAATAATAATAAACCAGCTTACGAGTGACATATTCCCTCAAGATTTTGGTCAACCAGGATGTGGTGAAATACAAGCTGAAGGATTAGGCCAATTCAAAAGGAATATATTAGTTCGCTCGCTAAAGTTAAGGCGAGTAAATTGGTCATACCAGATGTCCGCTTCTGAAACTCACTCCGGGATACTATCCAGCACGGTTAGCACTGAGTAAAGGCTAAGGTGTATTCAGTTTGCTATCAGAACATCTGTTGGTGAATTCAGGACATTCAGCTCCATTTCATGAAATGTCCTTCACACTCATATCGAAGATGCGATCTATTCTGTCTCGAAAAGAGGGTGAAATCATGTTATTTAGGAGTAGATTGAGATTTGATATGTTCCTGAAGACATTTAGAAATATGCTGTGAAGCTAGTCCTTACTTGCAGAGATCGATGGGTCCTCCCCTATGTATGTGTGTCCACACGTACATTCAAATTTATAAATACAATGGGATATTACATCATTTTTCGCTTGTTGAAAGGGCTAGGATGGATGGATGGATGGATATATGCGCTTCACGCTCTCAGTTATTGTGATCTAAGTTGCACAAAAAGTCTTTTTAACACCAGTGTTCAATTTTTGTGTAATTATCAAGCTGCCATGATGCCCCATATAGAGTAGCTTGATGTACATGTCTTTCTTAGGGAAGAGTTGGAGAGTGGGTGTCTTGGTGTTCTCACTACTTTATATCTCGTTATAAACTTGTCTGGATAATTGTTATCAACCAGAGTTTGTGTTCTTAAAAGGTACTAACAATGTTAGGTTTTCATTTGAAGGCGATTGTTTTCGCCAGGCTGATGGTGTTGCTGCTATGGGAAGTCCGTTAGGGCCCCTTTTAGCAGATATATATGTCGTACATTGAGAATTCATCAGAGGATTTAATCGAAAATGTGCCACTTTGTAGAAGGTATGTAGATGATATCGTAGTCATCAGTGATAAGTCTTGTTCTGTCACCTCAATTTTAAATCGAATGATTTCATGAAATATCTTTCACACTCATATAGAAGATGCGATCTATCCTGTCTCGAAAAGAGGGTGAAATCATGTTATCTAGGAGTAGCTAAGGCAGTGGCGATCCAAAAGCCCTAGCCCACGCTAAGTATTCAAAACAAATAAATCCAACCGTTCTCCCTACCATGGCCATCATAGAAAGTCATTTTCACTAATAATGTGATCATCCAATGACAGCTCATATCCAACCTTACTCTGAATTTATGTTATTCTTACGTTCTGAATTCCTATCTGTATTACTAATTTTGTAAATTTAAATTTTTTTTAATAGCCTTACTTCACACCTTCTCATCGATTACTATGTCCTGAATCCCTAACTTGCGTAATAAAGTCAAGTTCTTCAGTAATAAGGATCTGAATTTGTCTTTTCCAACCGATCTTTCTGATTAATACACACTATGAGATTTTATTTCATTTAACATTCAACTTGAAATACTTCGGAAACCTTCTCACACATCTTAATGAAGACACAAGAATGTACTGACTCCTAGTTGACAGTGACTTCGTTGAAAAGATAAATTTCCATCTTCTTCCTCGCAATAACCCTCCTATTTAACAATACATCACAATTCAACATGTGTATATTCCATGATTTGAATAAAACAGTACCATGGAATACAACTATTTTACATAACATAGCAAAAATATTCATTCAGTTATCTATGAAACACAACATAATCGAGCAAAGAATATTCTTTTCGATAAATTCCTCTTCTGGCTCTACAATTATATACACGTTTATATACACAGAATATTCAAGGTTGGTAGTTAATAACAATATTAGTGTTTTTTAAATTATATCTGCGTTCGGGAGTAAAAGACAAACTGCCTAATTTCGCCTCATCCATGTGTATCTACCAATTTAATTGCTCCTGTGGAGTCAGTTTCATAGGCCACACGATTAGGCGTGTTTCTCGTCGAATTTCCGAACATCACCCTGCATGGTGGTTAAGCAAAGGCCAAACAAAATCTATCCGTAGCGCTATTTGGGCTCATCTGGTGGATACAGAACATAGGATTGATGTTAACCAAGCTTTCAGAGTTATTTATCGGATACCAACAAATCTCAATTTTGCCTTAAGAGTTCGATTACTAAATATTGCTGAGGCTGTTGGGATCCACATTAAAAAGCCTAATTTGTGCGTCCAAAAGAAGTTAGTTCAGACGCTGTCCCTACCTTGGCCATCTAGGTATGAATGATTCTCAATTTTCGTGAAAATTTCCTAATTTTAGTTGATATCCTACTCGGTATTATATCTTTATTACTATTATAATTTAAGTATTTTTAGTGAACTGTAATTGCATTGATCTTGCTTTACAACTCGATATTATTTAAAAAACACTAATATTGTTATTAACTACCAACCTTGAATATTCTGTGTATATAAACATGTATATAATTGTAGAGCCAGAAGAGGAATTTATCGAAAAGAATATTCTTTGCTCGATTATGTTGTGTTTTATTTTACATAATGTGTATTTTAACATTTTCTTTACGATAAGAATTCAAAACATTTTTCATTTTGCTGAAATAAAACCTGTCGAATTGGCCAACTTCAACATGCATATACCAGTTCAACTGCTCGTGTCGAGGCGAGCAGTTTGACCGTATCATGCATGCGTTCGTCTGTAAAAGGTATTCAGGATGGTTACTCAGTAGGATACCAAACAAAGAACATAAGAATGTATACAGATATGTAAGAGAACAACTGCTGGTTAATTCAAGACATCCAGTCCTATTTCATGAAATGCCCTTCAAACTCAGATACAGGATCTGATCAAACCTCTCTTGCAAACGGAGTGAAATCAAGATATCTAGAGAGTAGTTGAGGCACTAGTAAGCAAAAATTTAACGCACACTCTATGTGTTCAGAAGATATACGTCTAAGTGTTGTGCGTACGATGACCATCAGGAGACGTCCCTCCAAATTATGATTATCATATAACAGTTCTTAACCAGCATTCCTGTTAATTTCTGTAATTCTAACGTTCTCAATTCTTATTTTCATGACTTCATTTCCTAGGTATTTCTTCATTTTTTATATACGTGTCCGAAGTTCCCACCCTTCCGCCTATTAAGAACGCCCAATCCGTAATTATATAAACAGTCAAGTTTTTTCAATAATCGGGAAGTTATTCTATCTTTCCTACCCAGTCATCCTGATAATGAGACACTTTGTAATTTTATTTAACTTTTTACACTTTGATCGAAAATAATTCTCAAAATTTCTCACAAATTTACTCCTGTAAATGCACAAATGTTCAGCCTAGCTGATGACTTTATTCATCCCCGACACAACCCTCCTACTTAATAATGCCCCACGCATTAGAGTAAAACCAAGGCTGGGGCACCGACGATCGATTGGCTCAAGACCACGCTAAGTATTCAAAAGAAATACGTGCAACCGTTCTCCCTAACATGGCCATCATGCAAAATCAGTCTTACCATTAATGATTATCCAATCCCCATTTTCGTATTCTAAATTTCAATTAATTTCTGTTATTCTTGTGTTCTGAATTCCTACCTACATTAATGGATTTGATTTTTTAGATTTTTCATATATGACCTAACTTCCTACGTATTAAGATATATCAAAGTCATCAATCCTTAATTGTATATACAGTTAAGTTGTGCAAGAATTACCGAATTCTTCTCACACTTCTACTTGATCTTCCTGACTATTACAGACTTTGTATATTTATTTATTTCATCTGACCTTTGATCGGGAATAATCATCGAGCATTCTCACCCCCTAGAATATATATATATATATATATATATATATATATATGAATGTAAAGCCTAGCTGATGACTAATATAATCCTTGACAAAACCCTCCTATTTGATAATTCCCCAAAATTCAACAAGTGTATATTCCACAATTTGAATAAAAAAAATACCAGAGAATACAACCACCATACACAATGTGTATTTTAACATTTTCAATACAGTAAGAATTTAAGGCATTTCACCTCTTTTTTTTGTTGCGCTTACCGTTCCATCACGAACAATATCATTTATGCATTCTTTGAAATAATAATAATTTTATCAATAACAGTAATACAACTGGCTTCATGTGTTGAGCTCTTCACTGATGATATTTCGATGAATAACCCTAGTGTAGAGTATTGAAAAGTATTCCCCGCTTGTTGTTAAAAAGTAGTCAGTGAGTACCTTTCATCTCTTCTTGTTGTTAATGTTATCAGAAGAAGATGAAATCAAAAAAAAAAATGAAAACAAAACAATAGCGAAAAGCTAAAAAAGGGGAAAGACGTTAAACGAGTATTCAATCAGCCAGAACAACTGCAGGAACAATAGCACCAACAATGACAGAAAAGGCATCTTTATGTTAGAAAGTAGGTGAAATTGTTTAATAATTAGTAAGGGAATTAATTCAGAGAATATGTGTTGCATAGCTTTGAAATTGTACTTCAATGTAAGCATTGAATATTTTCGATAGGTTTACTTGTATTCATTATGTACACGTATACATATACACATATATCTTCATTGAATACAAATAGTAGAATAGAATTTTGAGCAAATCACATAGGTAAATACACAAATCAATAAATAATTGTAAGTAGTGAAGTTTTATTTACCACTTCTGTCAAAGGTTGTCTCAAAGTACATGAAGTAGTACACAGTTAGACATCAATAAAATACATCAATAGTACATCGTATTATGTCATTTCTACACGAAAAGATTTATTGTAAATATCATCAATTTGATTGACAGCTCATGTTGACTAACTGTAGATAACTTGATCCTCTCTTCTATGACGTGAAACACGAAATAATGATTGAGAATTGGATAAATTTTTATTTCGAGTAAAAATGAGATCAGAATTTTGATTTGGATTATTATTACTATTACTATTGCTGTTACTATTACTCGTATTTTTATTTGATCTGAATGAGACAGCATGCCAATGGGAAAGATCTTCAGCGATATCATCAAATGTCCGATTTTTCGTTTCGGGCATATATAAGAAAAAGAATATCCAACAAGCGACTACAATGACTAAGAATATTAGAAATGTATATCCTTCGATTGCATCCTGTGTTTGAAATAATATTAATAATAATATTAGTAATAAAAAAAGGCAATTCAGTTGAGTAGACATGGTGAGTGGTTATGTAAAAATTAATTATTTGAATAAAATTTTTATTCTCTAATATTGCAAATAGAACTTTCCACGTAAAAAAAAACAATTTTCTTTGGTCGCTGGATTTCATCATGAACTGAAATCGATCTGCTAACCAATGGAAAACCCCCATGGAGTACTGCACTGCCATCTGCTGTATCGTCACCCTTGTTTGGCACCAACTCTTTATCAGTACGCATCCATCGGTTGTGCATGGTTCGAACCCAGCACCTTTTGGTTACAAGGCAAGCAAGTTCACAAGCCAGTGAAGCAATGAGACGCAATCCGATGGACAGTGCACGAATTCTAACTTTTTACTAATTGACGACATAGTATGGCCACTAGACGGGGCCAATTTGACAATGAAAAAATGCCCCTAAGCTGATGAACGAATATTAGGTTGCTCTGGAATATAAACTGAGTGAATTTTGTAAATTCTGGTTTAATAATACTACTACTTTGATAAAGCTATTTGCAGTAGCATTAAATAGTGAAACGTCAGTAAGACCAACAGTATCGTTTTGTTTTTTATTCATGCCCAAATGTTTTTCTAACTGTTAACAATGAATTTGGTTTGGACATATGTAGAAATAATTAATGAATTAATTAATAGTTTAGGGATCATCTGCAGTACGTACCGACTGACAGAGTTAGAACCCCAAGAACTCCCATTTATACTGCAAGCTGGTATGGTATTAAGTCACTGGGACTCGATCCAGTGACCAATCCATGAATTCTAACTCCTATGAATTCGTGTTTAAGCGCTACTAGCAACCACTTTTATCAGCCCAACATCCATTCTCACACACTTGATTGGATGGGCCTTACACTGGTCACGACTTCTTAGTATAGCTTCAAGAAACTTCGTCTTGTGGAAACGTCGGTAAAATCGACGATATAGTCTGATTTTTTATCCTTATTGGGAAATACAAAAAAAACTTTATAACAATGATGAATTATTTCTGTTGAGATCTCTGGAATTTTTTTAAAAACTCAAGATTTTTGTTTCGTTTGATACTTCGCATCTTCAGGAATGAATCAAATAATCCCAAACATGTTGAAAAAACTCTCTGAAAAGAAATTACATTTACACTGCTTCGCAGCATAACGTGGTGATAAAAACGTTTGACTGTAATTAAATCTATGCGATATTAACTTTAAAACAATTAGTTCCCTATTATGAATTTAGACAGAACAATAAGAAGGAAGACGTAAGTTGTCTGAATCGTCTAATGTGTCTTTGCCGCACACATTGGATAGGGTCCCGGTGGCTTAAAGGTTTATGTAACCACAAGATGATGGGTTCGAACTGGATGTGGTGAGTGCCTGCTGATGAAGAGTCTCACATTAGGACGAAACGTCTGTCTGCCCAGTACTTCTAGGTGGTTTTCCAGTGGTTCTCTCTCTCTAACTAACTGAAATTCAGTAACTAATGTTTCATCCTTATAAGGGAATTATCGCGAATTAGCACACACACACTCACAGGGTTCGAACCGAAATGCTCTAGAATGTGGTTCCTGAGTAAATGTTTATACTGTAAATATAATTCAAAAATATTCTGGTAGACATTAAAAAAAAGAGAAACAAATTTTTTTATTTAATTTTGAAATAAAAACGATTAGTACACTTTCATAGTTTCGGATATAAATTTCTTTGAAATATTCTAGAAAATTATATAAGTAGATTTGACTGGAACCTGTTTATTATTTATTATTTATTTATTATTGCTCCCTTGGGTTCCTAGTGGAACATAGGGCTTCAACTGCACGTCTCCATTTTCTTCTGTCTTCTGCTGTACTTTTCGCCTGCATCCATGTTAATCCATATTCTTTCAACTCCTCTTCACACGATCTCCTCCATGTCACCCTTGCATTGACGTCCCACACGCCGCTTCCCTTTCGGGTTCCACTCGAGGGCTTGGCGCGCGATGTCACCCAGTGGTCTCCTCAGCGAGTGTCCGATCCATCTCCACTTTCTCCTGCATATTTGTTGGTTGGCGATTGGTTCTTGCTTTGTTTGTTCCCATAATTCCTTGTTGGTGATTCTTTCCGGCCATCTGATCTTCAGTATTGAGCGAAGACAGTTGTTAATAAAAGTCTGAAACAGGCTGTTGGAAATATTCGTCGTGACCCACCCGCCAAGTTTCTGATCCGTATAGAAGAACTGACTTTACGTTTGTATTGAAAATCCCACTGAATTTTGTTGGTGATGCTGAGTGACGAAGATTTCCAGATTGATTTCAGGCTGATGAATGTGTTTCTCCCCGTCCCGATTCTCGCTCTATTTGACATCCTCGTCCGCTCCTCCTGTAGTTGAGACAATGCTCCCTAGATAAGTGAATGAAGTAGCCTCTTTCAAATCCCTCCCGTTGACAGTGATTGATGCTGGATGTTGTTGCTGTTGTTGGTTGGTTGGTTGGTTGTTTTCATAACCTCCGTCTTGTCTATGTTTACCTGGAGTCCTGTCTTTGCTGCTTCTTCGACCAGTTTGTCGGTTTTCGCTTGTAAGTCTTCGATTGTGTGTGACATCAAACATAAGTCATCTGTGAAATCCAGGTCTTCTAGGTTCTTCACGTCGGTCCAGGATATCCCTGTCTTCTCGTTTCCCCCAGTCTGACGCATAATCCAGTCCACCACAATTAGGAATATCATTGATGATAGTAAGCACCCTTGTCTGACTCCTGCGTGTACTCCAAACGACTCGCTGAGTCTTCCGTTGTGGATCGCTTGACATGTGCCGTTGTCGTACAGCTGTTGAATGAGGTTGATGAATATTTGGGGTACGCCATAGTACTCGAGTAATTTCCAAATTACTTCACGATCAACGCTGTCGAAGGCCTGTTTACTGTCTCCAAATATTCAACAGTAGAAAGATATTGGTTACTTGTCAGTGATTAATTCTCAGATCATTCCAGCAGTTGACAAATAAAGAGAATTTAGACAAAGCTATAAGAAGGAAGAGGTAATTTGTCTACATCGTGTAATGTGCACTTGCAAAACACATTTTGAACAATCTGATCGCACGGTACGGACTTGCCACAGCAGTGGATATACATGAAATTAATAAAGAGTTAAGAGGTGAGAAATTAGACTGCTTAGTTCATGTTAAAAGGACATATTGAAGGTGAAAATAACAATGAAGATCACTAAACCATCTACCCTGACAAGTATCAAAACTAGTTTTACCAAGGAAGGTTTAGTGGGATGACGGGTTGTTGCTTTGATCACGTAACGGTGGTTTAAACTTCCTAATTGCCAGCTAGAGCTTCAACAAACTTTAGGATACGCCTCAAACACCTTTTATGGACAGTTTCAAAAGACGTGTTAACATCAATTTTATGTCCTTTCTCTATAATATGTTTTGCAATAGAGGAGCTAGGTCTCCTGTTCTCACCAATAATAGGTTCTTGAGATTTGATATGTTCCTGAAGACATTTAGGAATATTCTGTGAAGCTAGTCCTTACTCGCATAGATCGATGGGTCCTCCCCTATGTATGTGTGTCCACACGTACATTCAAAATTGTAAATACAATGGGATATGACATCATTTTTTGCATGTTGAAAGGGCTAGGATGGATGGATGGATATATGCGCTTCACGCTCTCAATTATTGTGATCTAAGTTGCACAAAAAGTCTTTTTAACACCAGTGTTCAATTTTTGTGTAATTATCAAGCTGCCATGATGCCCCATATAGAGTAGCTTGATGTACATGTCTTTCTTAGGGAAGAGTTGGAGAGTGGGTGTCTTGGTGTTCTGACTACTTTATATCTCGTTATGAACTTGTCTGGATAATTGTTATCAACCAGAGTTTGTGTTCTTTCTTTCTCATCAAGCGTGTCTTCAGCGCATATTCGTTGGATTCTACCGAAGAGGCACCTCACTCACTAAGGATGTTTTGTACCGAACAGGACAGAAACTGTGATAATTAAGATACTGTCCTGTCTAAGTACGTTATCTATAAATGGATCCCTTTATTGATCCATCAGTCTGTCGGCTAAGCAATTTGTCTAGGAAAGATTAACAATCATCTTCCTCTTTTACAAATGTAAGTGATATGCTATTCTGAAATTCATTTATTCGATTTAAAATTGAGGTTACAGAACAAGGCTTATCACTTATGACTACGATATCATCTACATACCTTCTACAAAGTGGCACATTTTCGATTAAATCCTCTGATGAATTCTCAATGTACGACATATATATCTGCTAAAAGGGACCCTAACGGACTTCCCATAGCAGCAACACCATCAGCCTGGCGAAAACAATCGCCTTCAAATGAAAACCTAACATTGTTAGTACCTTTTAAATTGGCCGAAGTCTATTTTCTCACCTCTTAACTCTTTGTTAATTTCCTGTATATCCATTTCTATGACAAGTCCGTAGAGTGTGATCAGATTGTTCTAAATGTGTTTTGCAAGTGCACATTACACGATTCAGACAAATTACGTCTTCTCATTGCTAAATCTATAATAACTTTAATTATTCGACAGAAATTTGCATCGTCGTGTGTTACTTTGAAGTGATTTCAGTTAATCTTAAATTGTATTGGTGATATTTCGTACATAAAAGGAAGTTTAATGGGTCACTCATGATAAACTTTAGCTTAAATGTATTGCTTTCTACATTTAGAAGGCGGCCTGCTTGAACATAGGGCTACCAAAAAATTCCACCTTACAACATTTTGCAAAATTGCTTTGGTTTGCTCTTTTAATTTTGTTTTAATTTATCAATAATGTGTCCTAATCGTACTATATATAATCGCGCATTTTTAAAATCATTACAACCTACCGCGTTGTGTCATCCACAAAAATTGAGAAAAAAGCATCACTGTGGCTGGCAGCGTGCACTGAAACGTACACAAATTAATCAAATGACTGTTCCTGAACTCGTTAGCACTAATTGTAGATCCCTGTCCAACAAAATGGATTATCTTCAATCCCTAATGTATTCCAATGTTTATCGAAATGCTGGCGTTTTAGCAATACAAGAGACTTGGCTGCACCAGCATTATGATGATAATCTAGTTTCAATAAATGGATATAAAGTTTTTCGCCAAGATAGAAAAAGTTCCAAGAAAAAATATGGAGGAGGGGTAGCCACTTTTATAAACACAAGTTGGTCTACATCAAATCACGTTTGCTTCAATTATTCTAATGACAATATAGATTGCATAACCGTCAGGTGTCGCCCAAAACACTTAAGTAAATATTCTTATATATACATAACAAATATTTACATAACACCCAATTGTAGCCTTTCTAATATAGTTATGTTTGCAGATGAGTTTACTGAATTCGCTGCTCCTGCATTCGGAAACTCGTTGTCTATAGTCTGTGGTGATTTTAATTCATGTGATCACAGCTTTCTTACTTCACTTGGTCATGAGAATCTAGTCAAGTTTAATACACGTCTGGACAAATCACTAGACCTGGTTTTCATAAATGACCGTGATGTATATGAAACCCGAAGGAGAGCTCCTTTGCTAAATTCTGACCACTGCATTATTCGTATTTTACCGAAAGTGTACGGCAAGTTACAACGAAAATTGTTTAGTCATTTAACAAAGAAGATACATGAACGTTCATATTCCCATGACAACATTCTAGCATTAAGAAGCATGTTGCATGATACCAACTGGGAACTATTTACTGACGATAAGTTGGATGCTACTGTCTCTAATATAACCGATTATCTGAAGTTTTGTTTGGAAATTTGCTGTCCATATGAAACACTGTTTTCGAGATTTGACAGAATCTCTTCTTTGCAACTGAAAAAACTTAGAAGACAAAAAGAGAAGTTGTATAAGAATTGTGATAATACTGGTGTCCGTAAAATAAACACCCTTATAAAAATTGAAATAGAAAGGTTGAACAGACTATATAATGAAAAATTTTTATCATGTAAAAATCCTTCAAACATTTGGAAACTTTTCAATAAACTTACAAGTAAAAAACAAATGTCTGTTGATGCTTATTCTGATGTTAATGCTTTAAACAAATCATTTATCAAGAAACAAATTAATATGGTTGTACCTGATGTACCTAGTCAAGAAAATGGTCATTTTCAGGGTTTTAAAAAAAGGATGTACTATTATGTTTGAAGTCATTAAATCCAACACACAGCCTTGGTCCAGATGGTGTACCAAGCATTCTTCTTCAAAAGTGTGCAGACATCTTGTGTCATCCTCTTACTCAAATCTTTAACGCATCATTTAACAGGGAAACGGTACCTGCTGACTGGAAAGAAATCAAGGTTGTACCTGTACAGAAATCATCTTCTGGAGCAGGTATAAAGTTTAGACCGGTCGCTATAACATCTCCTTTTTTGAAAACTATGGAGAAACTTCTTTTGAATATTCTTAAACCTTCTTTAAAAGCTTTTAGTGACCCTAAGCAGTTTGCTTATAAGTGTGGAAGAAGTACATTAGATGCAGCCATTGTACTACACCACAATATTGTTTCCTGCCTTGATAAGGGTGCTAAGTTCGTTCGAACAGCTTTTTTAGACTATACTGCAGCTTTCGACTCTGTTCCTAGGACACTTTTATTAGGAAAGATGATTTCAGCACAAACAGAGTCCTGGGCAACTAGATGGCTGTCTTCTTATTTTAAGGATAGGAAACAGCATACTGTTTTGGCTGGAAAGCGCTCCACTTCTCAGCTAACTGAAAGTGGTGTGCCTCAAGGTGCAGTACTTTCTCCATTTCTTTTCTCTTTCTTTTTGCATGACCTTCCGAACTCACCCAAAGTTAACTTCATTAAGTATGCTGATGATCTGACCGTTTCTGTCCCTGTAGTTTCCACATCGGATTGTTCCCATATGAATGGCTTCTTAGCTGAAGTTAAGGATTGGTCTGGCTCAAATGGTCTTAAACTAAATCCAACTAAATGTAACACTGTTGATTTCAGCTTGAGAAGTGAAAAAGACATGCATGGATTGATTCAATCTCATGATTGTTGTAATATTGATGGTACCATGATAGAGAGTAAGTCAAGTGTTTCTTATCTTGGCATTAGTTTCTCTTCAAACCTTTGCTGGTCGTCTCATATTCTTATAGTTTCTAAGAAAGTTTTCCGTCTGACTTATTACATAAAGAAGTTGAGACACTCAGGTATAACCCAATCTCTTATCATACAATTTATTAATTCATGTGTTTTGCCCATCATTCTTTATTGTTCTCCATTATTCTTCCCTGGGCTACTCAAGAAAGACCATATAATACTACGAAGAACATTGAGGGCTGTAAGTAGGGTCAGTGCTATCCCTTTGACTCAACTAAATGACACTGTTGTCAATAGGCATATGAATTCTTGTAAACACTTAGCTAAAGTTATCTTATCTGATAGTGAACATCCTCTTTATTCACAATTGTTTCCTTGTATCTCTTCGGGTAAGACCAGAAGAAATTTTATAAACATTTATGCTCGTACTACAAAATATAAAAATTCGACCGTTCCATATTTGGCACGAGTATTGTGTGAAGAGACAAATATCAGAAAAGAACTTTTACAACTTTTGAATCATAACTAAACTATAAAATGTAATGATGCATATTAATGCATGTGTTATTTGTTATATTATTTATTTATTATTCACTATGACCTAGCAATGGTGTGATTTTGTTGGGGTTTTATTTTTTCCTATTAACTATCAATATTTTAACATTTTATACATTTATATAATTATAAACAGAGCTAAACCATTGCAATATGTAAAAGAAACGCTGAAAATTCCATGCTGTAAATTGTTATTGTTGTGGAATGAAGTGATTATTATTATTATTATTAGAATTCATCACATATTTGAATTTCTTATATTGATGCTACTAACAGATAAAAAGTAGCATTTAAAATAAATTGACAATTTAGCTGCATAGTGTACGACAGACTTCGACATAACGCTTGAGGTAATTAATGCGTATTGAACTAATTTACAGGAGCCAGATGATGAAAACGTTGTTGGAGAATCGAATGCGATGGAGACGTGCGTGCTGAAGATCTATATGCCTCTAAGAACTAAAGTAAATAATAATGTAATTACGGAACCGTCTCACTGTTTTATTGCCTGTCAGCTTAAGTTTTATCACCCATATTATTTTACATATCATGTTATCTTACAGATGTTCAGGAAGCTTTTTAATTGACAGAACAGTTCTGTTAATTGTATATATATATTAATAATTTATCCTTTAATTCCTAGAGGAACAAAGGCTTCAGCTGCTCACATCTCCATTGCGTTCGGTCCTCTGCCAACGTTTTCACCCCGATCCAAGTCTGCCCACACGCTTTCATCTCCTCTTCACATGACCTCCTCCAAGTCACCCTTGCATTGACGACCAACTCGCCGCTTCCCTTTCGGGTTCCACTCGAGCTATGGTTGGTCTAATGATGTCACTCACTTGATAGTTTCCTCAGAGTATGGCCAGCCAATCCACCTTCATTCCTTCCCGCACATTTGTTTCACAATCGGTTCCTGCTGGGTTGGTTTGCTCCCAGAGATCTTTGTTGCTGATCTTTTCTGTCCATCTGATCTTGAGTATTGAGCGAAGACAACTGTTGACGCAGGTTTTTCGTTTGTTTGAGGTGCTTTTTATGATCCGTATAGTACGACTGAGTGGCTTCACAGTGGAGTTGAAAATCCGGATGTTATTTTTGATGCCAAGTGCTGTTGACCTTAGCACAGACTTGAGAGTAATAAAAGCTCGTTTTGCTTTCTCGATTCTTGCTTTGATATCATCGTCAGTTCCCTCCGCCCGTAGTTGAAACGATGCTTCCCAGGTAGGTAAAGGAGGTTGCTTCCTTGAAGTTCCTCCCGTTTATGTTGACTGTTGTCTCTTGTTGTTGTTTCTGTTAGTGTAGCACAGGAATCTTCATCACCTACCTCTGTTTCCTCTATGTTCACCTGAAGTCCTATCTTCTCTGGAGGCTTCTTTTATCGCTTCCTCCACTTGTTGCTTTTCACTTGCATATCTTCCAGTTTGTGGGAAATCAGATATATACTATCGGCGAAGTCCAGATCCTTCAAGTTTTTTGTGTGAGTCCATTTTATACCTATTTCCTCAATGCCCGCCGCTATCTGTCATATTATCAAATCTACCGCAATCGCGAAAATCCTTGGAGATAGTAGGCAGCCTTGTCTTACTCCCCCGTCTTTACTTCGAATGATTCCGTAAGTATTCCACTGTGGACTACTTGAGATGCAGCACTGTCGTACAACTGTTGGATGAGATGCATAATTGTCGATGGCACCCCTTAGTAGTAGCGAAGTAGTTTCCAAATCACCTCTCGATCGACGCTACACTATCGAAGGCCTTTTCAAAGTCGATGAAGTTGAGATAGAGTGATGACTGACTGCCATTCGAAGCTTTGTTCAATGATGATCCGTAGTGTGGCGATTTGATCAATGCAATGTATATATATATATAAGTTTATTCATCTGATATGTATGGTCGGCCTGTAAAAGCTGGGCTACTGATATCACATGCTGAAAATTCCATACTTGTACCAAATTTACGGTGTGGCATCAAGCTGTAATCAAAAATATAAATAAATAAATAAACTCACCATCAAATTTGGAGTTGAAAACAATACTAACAGATTAGATAACCATTGAATTGTTTGACTAAGCGAATAAGCAGCAGCTCTTGGACCTTGTCTAAAAATTTCTGATACTATCAAACCAGGCACTGGTCCTAAACCCAATGCAAAACCGAATATATATACAAAGATAAAAACAATCGATAGAATTGCCATCACATCTTGCATTTTTCCAGAGATTTTTTCTGATAAATTGACTGTTAGGGTAAGAATTAATAAAGATATCGCTAAGATTAATGATGGCCATAGTAGTAATGTACGTCGACCTGCTCGTTCTAATAGTGGTAAAGCGGCGATAGTTACGATTACATTGAATATACCAATACCAAATACACAATATTCAAGAGAATCTGGTGGAACTTTAGCCATTGTTAGCATTTTAGATGAGTAAGAGATAACCTGTATTTAGAGAAGAGAGAGAAAAAAAGAATAAATATTTCACTTGTATAATTCAATTTTAGATTTTCCTGCCGATTGATTAGATCGAAGTGCTCAGCTACTCAAGCTGACATGTCTGTCTGTTGGCTTCTTGTGCAGATGCTTCAACGATGTCTAGGCATGCGATTACAAGTTAATTGATGGATGGTGACTATCAGTGGAATCAAGGATAACGCATATTTCGTCCTATTTGAAATTCGTCAACTGGATATGCTTGAAATCAATCGAAGGGAAAATCTAAAATTTAATTAAATATTTAATATCACCAGTTGAACAAGAGGCAGTGGCTCTCGTGGCCCAAGTGGTCTTGTAGATAGCGCCTTGGTGTCTAAAACTATAAAATACTGGGTTCGAGCCTCGGTGGGAACTTCGTCACTCAGTTACTGGGGTTTGCAGGTACATCCACTAGCTGACGAGTCCAAAATAGGACGAAATGCGTTTTATCCTTGATTCCACTGCTAGTTACCAACCACCAATTAACTTCTAATGTTTAAAACTTTCAACTGACACACACACATTGAAGTCCTAAAGAATGTAAAAAGAACATAAATTAGTGAAACTCTCAACAACAAAAAATTACATTTCTGCATCTTACCTGTATTTTCAAAAAATATAAACGAAAGAAAACGAAGAAAGTGGAAGTTGTGCAAAAGTCAACTCGACTACCTAAAATTTATATGTCATTGGTTTAATGATAGTATGCTGGTCGATCAAATAAATGATCCCGTTTCGATTCCAAGCCTATCTGCTTCTAAGCATTACGATAATCAACTGATTGACTACACCTACAAATTGTCAAATCTTGAAACCTTCTGTTTACTTATAGTGAATAATTTAAAACATTTCATTTAGATTATTTAATTATCCTTCTAATCTAACTATTTTATGATTTGTGATTACCCTGCTCTGATCACCTGAATTCGGTTTATAAGTATTCGTTGAAGGATTTCATCATGAGCTGATATCGGTTACATTGGAAGCATTGGATAAACTACACTGAAGTACTGCATAGACATCTGTTTCTATTGTTCTAGTTTCAGAACTCTTCAGCAGTATGCAACCAACAGACTGTCAGGGCTTGAACCCAGGACCTTTTGCTAACAAGACTAGTGAGTTCATAGACCAGTAAACCACTAGGATTCAATTCCTCAATGTCCAACCAATCTATGAATTCTAACTTCTGCCATTTCATGAGATATAGTGCGACCAACAAATGAGATATCAACTCATAGTGAAATCCTCCAACTAACTAATCCCTACAAATTTAATACTTAAAAATTATAAGAGTTTGTTTAATCGTTTTGATAAACTAGTTATACTGAATCACAGAATAACTGCACTTAAACCTTAAATGAGATAGAGAATGATAAACAAGTCTGCAATAACAAAAGATAAACAAGGGATGTGAATCAATATTTACACAAATAGAGGTATTTTTGAATTTTTTTACTTAGTAGATAAAAATTTGCATCCTCCTGAAATATGTACACTGATCTTCAAAGTTAACCACAACACATTTGAGTAACCTGAAACCACTACTAATTTTGTATCATCTTTCCTGTATGTATACGAAGATAGGCTTCTCATCCTTGGTAATCAGGTTCCCTTGAGCATCTTTTATTGGTTTCATCATCTGGGTTGATCTCTTTCTAATTAGAATTCCTGCTTATCTGATATAATCTACTGAAGGGTCTCTTACTTGCAGACTGCCTCCTCCACCTCCTCTGCTTCAGTTACCAACTAGTGTGTCGTAGACCTGTCTTTCGTCTTTCCCAGCCCTTTTCTTTACTTCATCATTCAGTTCAGTGTTCATTTAATTCAGCTTCTCCTTCTGTTGTCCATCTTTGCATTGAGTCATCTTCTCTTTCACCATCATTCTTTCCTCGATTACCTCCCAGGTATCCGTTGAGAGTCAGCCATTCCTTGTCTTGTCTCTTCTTTCTTCCAAGGAATGTTGTACACGTTTCTTTGAACATCACCTTCAGATAGTTAGTTCCAATGTTCCTCCACACAGGTTTCCTCAGTAATGCTACGTGGTTTATCAGACTTTGATGTGATCTGATCTGTATTGAAGGCCTACTTTGTATTTTTGTCCTTCAGTTTCTGAATGTTGCGCTTGAATTTTGGTCGGTCTACTGTTGTTGTTTTCAGGGGTTCAAGCTTCATCTTCAAAGTTTCTTGCACTAGACAATGGTCTTGGCCCACATCTGCTCTACTTCTCGACTTTGTGTCCAGCACGTTGCGTCTCCACTTCCCTGAGCATTATTTAGGTGAAATCTTTCTGGTTTGTGGTGTATCCATCAGGCAAAATCCATGTTGTGTGGGTCCTTGTGTTTGTACATGCTTCCTCCGATGGCTGCCTACTCAAGGCATGAACAACCAGAAACTTTTATCTCTGTATTGCACATATAGTTTCTTTTGTTCAGTTTGTTTTAATCGATTAAGGTATGACCTCTACTGGTATTATCTAATGTCGTGTGTATTTAAAACGTTTTCAAGCTTTTTTATCAACAAACGATTATCCAGAGAAGTTTATTAATGAGAATATAAATCTAAAATCAAAGTAGTTCATGGTACCGACAGTTACTAAAGAGGCCTTATTCTTACAAATTCAGTTCCTCGTGGATAACATCAACGAGATAATAACACAATGCCTTAGGAATGCGGTAAAAAGAGCATTCAGTGCTGCTGAATTATGTTGTGTCTTGAAAACCACCCCCTATTTTGCGTTCAGGAGTAAAAGATAATCTATTTAATTTGGCCTCTTCCATGTGTGTCTACCAATTTAACTGCTTCCATGGAGCCAGTTACATAGGCCGTACAACAATTAGGCGTGTTTCTCGTCGAATTTCTGAACATCACCCTATGTGGTTAGGTGAAGGACAAACAAAATCCACCCACAGCGCTATTCTATGTCATCTTGCGGATAGAGAACACAAGGTTGATGTTAACAAGGCGACTTTCAAAGTTATCTCTATCGCATTCGAGTAAATCGTAATTTCACCTTAAGAGTTTGTTTACTGAATGTTGCTGAGGCTGGCCGTTGGGATCCACATTAAGAAACCTAACTTGTGTGTTCAAAAGAAGCTGGTTCAAACATTGTCCTTACCTTGGCCATCTAGGTTCGAATGATCCTCAATTTTTGTGAAAACTTCCCTAATTTCAGTTGATATTCAATTTGCTACTATATCTTTATTATTGTTACTACAATTAGAGCATCTTTAATGAACTGTAATTGCATAAATCTTACTTTACAAATTGATATTATTTCAAAAAACAACAATATTGTTATTGACTACTATTCTAGAATATTCTATGTACATAAACATACATATATAATTGTCCAGTCAGAAGAGGAAATTATCAAAAAGGATATTCTTTGCTCAATTATTTTGATTTTCATAATTTTGATGCTTGCTAGCGCACACTAATAAGGTTTAATATTATTATATATTATTATTGTTCCCTTGGGTTACTAGTGGAACAAGGGGTTCAGCTGCACGTCTCCACTTGCTTCTGTCTTCCTTCTGCTGTACTTTTCACCTGCATCCATGTTAGTCCATACTGTTTCAACTCCTCTTCACACGATCTCCTCCATGTCACCCCTGCCCCAACGTCCCACTCGCCGCTTCCCTTTCGGCCTGGTTCCATGGCCTGACGCGCGCGCAATATCACCTAGCGGCCTCCTCAGAGAGTGTCCAATCCATCCCGATTCACTTTCTCCTGCATATTTGTTGGTTGGCGATTGGTTCTTGTTTTGTTTGTTCCCATAGTTTCTTAATGGTGACTCCTACCAACCCGGTCATCTGATCTTCAGTATAGAGCGAAGACAATTGTTGATGAAGGTCTGCAACAGGCTGTTGGAAATATTCGTCGTGACCAGCCAAGTTTTTGTCTGATCCGTATAAAAGAAGTGACTGACTTCACGCTGTTTGTATTGAAAATCCGACCGAATTTTGTTGTTGATGCTGAGTTGAGTGACGAAGACTTCCAGATTGGTTTCAGGTTGATGGATGTGTTTCTCCCCTTCCCGATTCTCACTTGGTTTGACATCCTCGTCCGTTCCTCCTGTAGTTGAGACAATGCTCCCCAGATAAGTGAATGAACTCACCTCTTTGAAATCCATCCCGTTGATGGTGATTGGCTCTGGATATTGCTGCTGCTGTTGTTGTCGTTGGTTGGTTATTTTCATAACTTCCTTCTTGTCTATGTTCACTTGGAGTCCAGTCTTCGCCGGCTGCTTCTTTGACCAGTTTGTCGGTTGGTTTTCGCTTGTAGGTCTTCAATTTTGGGTGACAACAAACATAAATCATCCACGCGCGAAATCCGAATCTTCTAGCTTCTTCGCGTCAGTTCAGGATATCCGTGTCTTCTCGTTTCCCACTCACTGTCTGACGCATAATCCAGTCCACCACAATTAGGAACATCATCGTGGGTGATAATAAGCACCCTTGTCTGACTCCTGTGTTTACTCCAAATACCTCGCTGAGTTTTCCGTTGTGGATCACTTGACATGTGCCGTTGTCGTACAGCTACCTGTTGAATAAGGTTGATGAATATTTGGGGTACGCCGTAGTACTCGAGTAGATTCCAACCAAAGTACTTCACGGTCAACGCTGTCTGTCGAAGGCCTTCTCAAAGTCTATAAAGTTGAGGTAGTGGCTAGATTGCCATTCTATGCTTTGTTCGATGATGATGATGCGTATGGTTGCAATTTGGTCAGAACATGATTTGCCTTTCATGAATCCAGCTTGTTCTGGTCGGAATGTATAATATCCTACCTTAAAAATCCTGATATAAATGACTCATTCAGGAAATCAGTGACTGAACAATATTAGGCTGTCAATTTTTCTTCAGCCTAACTTATTTACTGACTGGTAACTAAGTGATTATCTGAAGAGAAATTACGAATTGTAGTCATTTAGCATATAAGTTACAGATCTGACATTCGAGATTTCTAATCCACTATCTATTCACTATATATTGGCGGCCTATTTAAAACTTGGGCTACCAAAAACTTTCATCTCTCTATTACACATATATTTTCTCTCATTCGATTTGTTTCAATCGGTTAAGATATGACCTCTGTTGGTATTATCTACCCTTGTGTTTATTTCAAATGTTTACAAGCCTTTGATTCAGAAGTTCGTGCTCAATTTGAAGAAAGGCCTGATGTGAAGTAGGTGGTTACGTGTTCCAGTATATGAGATAAACTGTTCTTTAGTTATATCCTTTGGTCTCAAAATGTACTTCTGAACATCTTACAATTGGCTTCACAGCTAGATAGATATCGTGGATGGATTTCTTCAAGGAGACGAAGCAGACGTATGATATAATGGAAAGTCTTGGTGCTTCAGAGCTCATAGACCATTGTCTCACAGGATATAGTGCTGTCAATTAATATTTTATTTGAAGATATTGATTGCACGGAGGGAAAATTTCATATAGTGAACTCCTCTGAAAATTGTGTACACTTTATAAATACTGTCCAGAATAAAGATGTTAATATTACCATTATTAATATATGACTACCAGTCGTGTTTTCTTGATGTGTCAATATAGCTGGTGTAGTCATCCACTTTTGGTGGTAGAGGTATTGCTGACCTACAAAACTAGACGTTGACAGAACCACATCATAAAAATCAATGTAGTTAAATATCATGGAATAATAGATTGTGATGTATTCTTCAATCCAGGGTTTGAAAATCTCTAATATTGTAACATCAGAAGACAAGGGACAGGCAACAGATAGTTTATTACGGAAGTCAGCACGTATTTATATATATTTCATGTACATTATTATAGCTTATTAAAGCAGACAAACACTGTCTTCTGATTGGTTGTTTCTTCCTCCAGGTTATTCTGTACTGCTTGTGACTGGTTTCTCAGAAATTTAAGCCATCTATCTGCGAATCGTATTTGCCCACCTTAAGCCTGCTGTGATTGGTTGTTGAAATAGGCTTGTTCATATTTTCTCACGGCCAATATTAGCGACATAGACATTGACGTAAATTAATGTCTACCAACTGGCTAGCAGCCTGCTCTCACCACATTATTATTATTATTGCTTTTAGTTCCTAGAGGAACATAGAGCTTCAGCCACGCCTGTCTTCATTCATTTCAGTTCTCTGCCAAAATTTTGCTCACCTGGCTCCACGTCTGAGCAGCATGCTTTCATCTACTCTTCACATCACCTCCTACACTCCATGTCACCCCACTCTAACAGTGATGACCAACTCGCCGCTTCCAATAGGGGTTCAGCTAGAGCAATGGTCTGGCGTGTGATGTCACTCACTTGATGGTTTTATCTTAGAGTATGGCCGATCCCCCCCTATTTCTTCCTGAACACCTGCCGGTTTCACAATTGGTTCCTGCAGATCCCTCGCTGTTGCTGATCTTTTCTGGCCAGCCATCTGATCTCTATTGGTATTGAGAGAAGACAGCTGTTGATAAAGATATGTAGTTTGTTCATGACGTGGAGTGGTGCTCAGTCTCTGATCCGAATAGTTGGTAGCACTGACTTGACACTGGAGTTGAAAATACGGAACTCATTTTCATTTTCGTGATGAGTAGTGTTGTTGATCTACACACAGACATGAGAATAATGAAGGCCTGTATTGCTTACCCCATCCTCGCACTTTGATATCCTGATCATTTCCGTCAGCCTGTAGTCGAAACGATGCTTTCCAGGTAGGTAGGTAGGTAGGTAGGTAGGAAGGTATGTAGGTGAAGGATATCGCTTCTATCCGATTTCTCCAATTTATGCTGATTATTTGTTGTTGTTATTGTTGCCAAAGTTCAAATGCTGCAAGTTTCTCTTTGTGTGGGTTCACTTTATGCCTGTCTGTCGTAATATCCAATCTACCGCCCTTAATCAGGAAAACCATTAGAGATAGTAGGCAGTTAGCCAGCCATCCAGCCAGCTTGTCTTACTTCGGTCTTCACTTCGAAGGATTTCGTGACTTTCCCATTGTGGATTACTTGGGATGCAATATTGTCGTACAACTGTTGGATGAGATGTATAAATTTTGGCCGCACCCCTTGATAGTAGCGACCGGCTCTATCTGCTGAAGGCCTTTTCAAAGTCAATGAATATGAGACAGAGAGTTTACTGCCATTCCAAGCAGCCTCTTTTAAGAACACTTCAATAACATATTGATGTTACCTTGGTTTTATTTAATCAATGATAGCTGGCAAGGAAATCTTTTACCATGCTCAATTCATTTCATACAATCGACCCATCAGCTAGATATGCTTACATTCCTGTGATATTATCAACAGAACTTAAATCTGCTACCCAAAGTTTCAATCTTTCTCTAAGGTGTAAATTACAGGTTGTAGAAAAATGAAGGTTTGAAGGGTTCACAAGTTCTGATGAAAAATCTATCCTTTGGAATAAAGATCACGTCCAGACGACGATGAAATTCAAATTATGAATTCTACTACAGCAACAAAAGAAACAGCTTACCGCATTTATTCCAGATAATTGTTGCATCACTTGTATAAGACAAGCAATCACTATAGGTACACGTAAATCTTTTTGCACAAATAATTGTTGAAATTTAAATGCAGGTTGACTTTTTGCAAATTCATTTTCTTTTTGTAATTCTGATAAAAATGTATCAACATTTTCTTGAATATTTAACTTTATAAATGCATTTCTCGCCTCGTTTTCTTTATGCTTTTTTAAAAATAAAAATCTTGGACTTTCTGGACACATTGGTAAAAGTATGAGGGAAATAGCCGCTGGTACTGCGCCTAAAGCAGCAGCTATTGGCCATAAACTTTCACGATTTAAAAAATGTGATAGAGTTATTAAATAGGCAAAAGCTATGCCAATTGTTACTGCCAGTTGATGACATGCACCAATGCCTCCACGTAAATCACGTGGTGCAACTTCAGTTAAATATAATGAAGCTACACCAATAGTAATACCACAGTTAATACCGATAACTACTCGTCCTATAAGCAGTAGAATAGGCTGTTTAAGTACAACACACGGACCAATTAGTATTCCACCAGTAATGGCAAAGAAGTGATTGATTAATAAACCATTGCGTCTATTGAAAAGGAATAAGAAGAGAATAGAGAAAGAGAGTGTATATGTGTGTGTGAGTGTGAGTGTATGTTCGTGCGTATTACAGAGTATCAAAAGAAATTTATTATAATAATAAACATATAAGGTATACTAATTCATGTAATATAAAAAACATATACTGTAAAAAAAAACAAAAAGCATTTTATGTAACCTATAAAACAAACCCATGGTGTTAGAGTTAATTAGATGGTTGAAGGCACCAGGTCACAAGAAACCTTATCGACACCTTGTGGTCTCGTGCTAGTTGGTACTTACCACTGGTCAGCAATCTTAAAAGAAGGAAATCTTCCGTCCCACCAGTGTCACCTTCAGCCAGTCATAGACGTTACTACTAAGCAGCCAAATGCAAGATGTTGTTACAGGATTGGACTACACCGACTCCTAGATTAGAAATAGGAAGTGAAAGGGTAGAGCGCGTTGACCACTTCACTTACTTGGGAATTACCGTCAACCAGTGCCAACGGGTTGATCTCTGACGAAATCTCAGCACGGATAAAGAGGGCTAGTTTCGCATATGCCAGTTAACGCCGTCTCTGGCTTAGTAGACGTGATATCAGACTATCGACCAAAGGGCAGGTGTACTGCTCATCAGTCCTCTCCGTCCTCCTTTATGGCTGTGAGCAAAACATGTCCATTGAGAGTGGAAGACATGAAAAGATTAGCTGTCTTTGATCATAGGTGCCTGCGCTCTATCTCCCGTGTGTATTAAGTGGTATAATAAGGTGAGCAATATTGAGGTTAGGCATAGGTCGAGTGCTAGTTGAGTTGGAGGGGAAATCAATCGACCATCGACTGAGATGGTTAGGACATGTGTCACGTTTGCCTAGTCATCACCTTCCTCGATGACGGGAAATGTTAGCTGACATAGGGTTAGGCTGGAAAAGAGTTGGCTAGCGGCGGTCAAACCAAAGCATGGCACCAGTCAATGAAATCCAAAACAGTTAAAGTCAGCCAAGTGGGGAGCTATAAACTTCTGACTGGTTGGGGTCCTCTGGTTAGTAAATACTAATGGTTGGAAACAATTGGTGACATGGCTCAAAATGGTCCTCAATGAAACTAGTCACTAACTAGTGTCCAGTCAAAAGTATCCATAGTGTTAGTAAAAAAGCGTTTTGTGAAATTTGAGATCATAAGCCCTAACTAGTTGCTAAAGTTGCTGCTAAATTTCTCTTCTGATAGGTGCTGATAATTACCAGAGAGAAGTAGTAAATCACTGCTTGATGATGTTATGTGACAGATTTCATAAGATGTTGTGATGAGAGAGAGAGTTTGGTCGCATTTGGGGCTACTAGTCAGCTAAAGATGACGGCCGAAGACAGAACAAATAGGAGATTTGTTGTTGAAGCCCTATGCCCCACTCAGACCTCAAGGGAATAATAATATACACAATAATATCATATATTTTTCCTAAACATTTTTATTATTATTATATTATAATAATTTTATTTCCTTTAATTCCTAGAGGAAAATAGGGCTTCAGCTGCTCACATTGCGTTTGGTTCTCTGCCAACAATTTCATCCCGCTCCAAGTCTACCCACACGCTTTCATCTCCTCTTCACATCACCTACTCCAAGTCACCCTTGCATTGACGATCAACTCACCGCTTCCCTTTTCGGGTTCCACTCGAGCGATGGTTGGTCTAATGATGTCACTCACTTGATAGTGTCCTCAGAGTATGGCCAGACAGTCCACCTCCATTCCTTCCCGCACATTTGTTTCACAATCGGTTCCTGCTGGGTTGGTTTGCTCATTGCCAGAGATCCCTGTTGCTCATCTTTCCTGGCCGGCCGTCTGATCTTCAGTAATATTGAGCGAAGGCAGCTATTGATGAAGGTCTGTAGTTTGTTTGAGGTACTCTTTATGACGCGCCAAGTGTCTCATTCGAACAGTTAGTAGCACTGAATTCGCATTGGAGTTGAAAATTAGTATCTTATTTTCTATGGTGAATAGTGCTGTTGACATCCACACACAATTGATGGGGGTAATGAAGGCTTGTCTTGCTTTCCCTATCCTTGCTTTGATATTCTTATCGGTTCCGTCCGCCTGTAGCTGAAACGATGCTTCCTAGGTAGGTAAAAGAGGTTGTTTCTTTCGGGTTTCTCCCGTTTACGCTGACTGATTGTTGTTTGTTGTTGTTGCTGTTGCTGTTGGCCAGGAATCTTCATCACTTCTACTTTCTCTATTATCACCTGAGGGCCTACCTTCTCTGGATGCTTCTTCTGCCAACTTGTTGCTTTTCAATTGCATATCTTTCAGTTCGTCTGAAATCAGACATATATCATCGGCCAAGTTTTTGTGTCAGTCCATTTTATGCCTCTTTCCTCATTGACCGCTGTTTGTCGCATTATCCAGTCTACTGCAATCAGGAAAATCATTGGCAATAGTAGGCAGCCTTGCCTTACTCCCGTCCTCACTTGTTCGAAGGATTCCTTAAATTTCCCGTTGTGGATTACTTGGAATGCAGCATTATCGTACAACTTTTGCATGAGATGTATAATTGTCGGTGGCATCCCTTGGTAGTAGCGAAGTAGTTGCCAAATCACCTCTTGATCAACGCCACACTATCGAAGGCCTTTTCAAAGTCGATGAAGTTGAGACAGAGAGGTGACTGTCATTCCAAGCTTTGCTCAATGATGATCCGTAGTGTGGCGGTTTGAACAATACATGACTTGCTTCTCCTGAATCCAGCCTATTCCGGTCGAAGATATGATGTTTAAAGATATTTAATTTATTAAGAAGTGATGTTTAACAAATACCAGACTTACCGACCAATACCGTCAGCTATCCATCCACAACTGAATGATCCCATAGCAGCAGCTACAACAAATATTGCAGTTGCAATAACATATATCTGTTGAGGATCATTGTTAGGCATTGTATCCTTTAAAAAAGCTTCAATATTCTACAAATAGAAGACAAAATATTTAACACGAACTACTGATGACCATTTTAATAAGTAATATATTTATATATTATCACATGATACGGTGACGTTTCTAATATGTCAGTCTCAGTTTATGTATAGAAACTTAGAAATGATTCACCTCGTATATATCTGTCTTTTTGTCTTTCGCCCTGTCACATAGTTATCGATGGATGGTTTACAGTATACCATATAAGTGAATCGTAGTAAGTTGCTCTACCCCATCAAGTATCAAGATGATCGATTAAAAAGGATATTCAATTGCTTTGGTTCTAAAATAAACGATTAAAAAGATTCCATATATCAATGAAGACAATTTCAGCGATATTAGAATGCTGACGGATTCCAGTTATTGTCATTGGAATGCTTACTAGACTACAGTGTAACTCATAGGCAAGATTATGAGACGAAACGATTGATTCTACTGATGCTCTTGCGCGTTTACATTTCAAGCAAACATCATATTATCTCAATCAAATTGAATATCTGAACTGTATTTAAAGCATACAATTGGTGGATGGTGGCTAGCAGTGGAATCCAGGATGCGCATTTCGTCCTATTTGGGACTCGTCAGCTGGATTTAAAGCAGCCTCAAATTAAGGATCGAAATAGCAAGGCAAATCTGTGTGGAGGTTAACAGTACTACTCATCATGAAAAATAAGATCCGGATTTTCAACTGTTGTGTGAAGTTAATGCTGCTAACTATACGGATCAGAGACTTGGTGCCGCCTCGCGCCTCGCCTCGTCACGAAGGCCACTTTGAACAAACTACACATCTTCATCAACAACTGTCTTCGCTCAATACCACTCGAGATCAGATGGCCGGCTAGAACAGATAGGCAACAAGGAGGGACGTCTAGGAGCGAACCAACTGGGAACCGATTGTGCAATAAATATGCAGGAATAAATGGAGGTGGATTGGCCATACTCTGAGAAAACAACGCAGTGACATCATACGCAAGACCATTGCTGGAGTGGATTGGAAGCGATGAGTTGGTCGTCAAAACGAGCGTGAGGTGACACGGAGGAGGAGGTGCTGTGAAAAGGAAATGAAACCATGTGAACAGACGAGGAGCCAGGTGATGAAAACGTTGGTAGCGAACCAAACTCAATAGAGACGTGCGGCTGAAGCCTTATTTTCCTCTATGAATTGAAGAAAACAATTATAATAATAATGATCGGAAGCAGTCACAAAACAAGAACGTTACAATCAAGAAAGTAGGTTCAAAGTTATCATAATATTATATCATTATACTTCCAAATAACCTCGCCTAGTTAACTAGTTTTCTAGCCAGTTTCAAGCCCGGGTAAAGAGGGAGGGTTCGGCATGAGGGGAAATCAATCGACAAAAGGCTGTGAAATTACATCGACTGAGATGGTAAGGACGTGTGTTACATCTGCCTAGTCATCGCCTTCTTCTACAACAGGCAATTTTAGCTGACATAGGGTCAGGCTGGAAGAGAGTTGGCTAGCGGCAGTCAAACATGGAACCAGTCAGTGAAATCCACAACAGTTAGTTTAATCCACGTAGGAAGGTGTAGACTTCCTGGTTAGTTGGGATCCTCAGGATGGTAAAAAAGCATTGGCTTAAGACAATCGGTGATATGGTTCAAAATTGTCGTTCTAAATGTCTGGTGCAGATACATCTACTCCTTGTGACTTATAATATCCAATAAAACTATGTGGTTCTTCATTATTACTATTCCTTTGTCTCACATCTCTGTTTACCGTCTCTATTATGCATTTCTTCTACTTTCTTCTCTTTCTTTGTGTGCTACAAGGAGGTAGTGTGACGACTTGAACTGCTGCACAACTGCTGCAAAGTTCTTTGTCGAAAACAGAGAGACAGACAGGTGTGGGCCTAACAACCCTACACCAATAAACCTATCAAACTGCTGGAGAAACTTCAACTTACAGAAAATACATTAAAAATACAACAAATTCAAATGACAATCCTATTCTTCACTACAATCGGAGAGGCGAAATGACATAGCCGGCTGGCTGGTAAAAGCCCACCTTCGGCAAGCTAGTCAACTAGCCAATGTGTCTTCTCTCAATGAAAGCAAGAATATGAATGAGGGCGTGGAATGTTCATACAATGTTCAAGATTGACTGAAAAGGCTGCCCAGGGTAGCCAAAGAAATGCGAAGATATGGCTTCGAAGTCCTGGATATCTGCGACAGCAGATGGAATGAATGTGGATTATCAAAACTGTCAACTGGAGAGTCAATAATCTACTCCGGTCAGATTACCCAGATGACAACTACGCAGACACTGAGGGAGTGAATGGCTATCATGATGTCATCGGTAGCAACCAATTTTCTCTTGAGGAATTATGACAGCAAGATTCAATTCAAAAGGAAGAAAGGTTAAAACTATAATATACTGCGGAACTCAAGGAAATAATAGTAATAATAAACTTCCAATACATCCAATCAACCATTCAGTGAAGAAATAATCTTATTGTAGTGGCTTCTTCCATACATACCTCACAAACTACCGCTTTGCCCCCAATCCCACCCTATACTTATACTATCTTATCAGCTATAGAACCAGTTTCTTTCCAGTTAGAGAATTTACAACAGCTTACATTTAACATCTAACAGAGAACTTAATTCCAGATATTTAAGTTTCATTTAGGGCAATTAACTATCTTTCATTTGAAGTGTAACTGAATAATCTGTGAATTTCATCAGCTAACTTCTTCTGTATATTTTGAATTCACCACATTTTGATTTTTAACTTTACAAATACTTCTGATCAATTTGTGTTCCAAAATATGATCTCTATCAACATCCCTGCATCTTAACGTTTTGTGCTTACTTCCAAGTATTCATTACATTTACAAACGAAACATTTAACTACCTAAACTGAGACATATATGTAGTTGAAGATAAGGCAGTGACTCATCTAAGAAGACATTGCAAAGTGGTCGCACTATGTCATGAAGTGGCAGAAGTTATAATTCATGGATTGGCCATTGAATAGGGTCCATTTGCTAAATGGTCTATGAGCTAGCTCGCCTTGTAATCAAAAGCTCTTGTGTTCAAACTCTTGCAATGAGGCGGGTGCGTACTGCTGAAGAGCCTCAAACTGGGGTGAAACAGTTATCCAGTACGCCATGGTGATTTTCCAGTGGTTCTTTAATGCGTGTCGGCTCATAATGAAATTCTTCATCAAATCAAACAAAATCCCTACAAAACCAATGGCCTGAAACTTAAAGTTAGTAAAAGCCATTGGATTTCTGCCACCTCATTCGAACTGGTTGACGCAAGAAGACGATGAGGAGAGAAAGCTACTCAACGGCAAACTAATCAGAAGCCTTCGTAACGACCGTGAACAGTGGTAGGTGACAAAAGCGAAAGAGATGGAAAAGTCATCGGTGATTGGTAACACTAGACAACTGTTTAGACTCATCACGGAAACAAGATGGGAAAGGGCAAATGGTAAGTGGATAAAATCTCTGATAAAAATGGCACTATAATTAGCTCTTAGGATGGTCGACTAGAAAGTTGGAAAGGACACTTGGAATAGCAGTTTACTTGGCTTTAGGCTACGCTCAAATTACAGAACATCTAACACCTCAATGAATCGGTTATAAACACAGATCCTCCGTCCCTAACTGAGGTTACGAAACCTGTCACTAGTCTGAAACAAGGCAAATCAGCAGAACCTGACGGAATAATTCAAGAAGTGTTTAAATATGGAGGAAACACTTTACTGTCTGCGTTAACTAAGGTACTAGGCAGGTACTAGTGGTGTCCGTCAGGGATGCCCACTAATGTCCTCACTTCTATTCAATTTCATCGAAGATGTATGTTATCCATGGATGTATCATCACTATTCACTAATTTACCTCTTATGGAGACAGTAGATTACATTTGTCAAGAAATCACCGTAAGACAATAGGACTTGGGAATCCTCTTGTGTAGCCTCAAAGAATTACTTCTAAAATGCACAATGAATGTTCTCTTTGTCTTCAATAATTCTTACTGCCGACAAGTAGATGGAATAGCTATGGCTTCACCATTAGGCACAATATTTGCTGACTTCTTCCTTGGAAAACTTAGAAACGGGAGATTGAAAAACGTCATCAAGGAGTTTGATATGTATTACCGATATGTCAAGGATACATTTATCTTAGCTGATGAGAATGTTAACATAGACGAGTTGCTACTTAAGTTTAACAACATCCACCCTTCGCTTACCTTTACTTGTGAAGAGGAGCAGGAGAATAAGCTACATTTCCTGGATGTCTTGTTAAGTAGGCGAGAAGATGGATCACTTGGGAGAAGCGTGTGTAGAAAAACCACATTCACAGGGCAATGCACACAATTCCCTAGTTACGTGCCCATTAAGCATAAAAGAAATGTTGTTAAAGGTCTTACGAGCAGAGCAAGAAAGATATGTACGGAGGACTTCTTACAAAAGGAATTTGAATATATTCACGATTTCTTGATGGAGATGGGCTATCCGAGTAGTTTCATAAAGAAACATATGAAAACATCAGAGAAAAAGCCTGAGACTATGACTGCACGTTAGAAACCTCTATTTATTAAGTTACAATTTAATGGTGACTTATATAGTGAGATTTTGTTCCAGAGACTTTCCAGGAGTATACGTAGAACGTTTTATACAGCACACCTATGTTTGTTATTCCCTAGCCGACAAATGATTGGGACTCAAATGAAGGATAAGCTTGATAGTTTTGCCACATCTATGAGCATTTATCAATTCAACTGCACCTGCGGTGACAGTTATGTTGGGCATACTACTACTAGACAGCTTAGCGTTAGACAACGTGCTAGTGAACATCTTCTATCGTGGTGGTTATGCAAAGGACAGACAAAAACAATCCGTAGCTCAATTTTGTCACATTTAATTTATATTGGTCATATTGTGAAGAAGACGGAAGCTTTCAATGCAATTCATCCCATCCCACCGAATCTTTCCAATAAACTTCGTATTCGTCAACTGCCCACAACTGAGGTGATAGGCATTCGAACTATTAAACCTAAACTATGCATTCAAAAGAAGTTCGTACACAGCCATTATCCCTCCCTTGGCCTTCCTTCGCATTTTCAACACAAATATCAAATCAGTCAGTTATTTCTTCCGTATGGCTCATAAACTTGCACTGAGTGTGTTTCATGAAAAGCATTTCCAACAGCCAGTTGAGACAGAATTTCATCAACAGCTGTCCAATTCACTGACTGGATCCATACTGAAGATCAAAGGGGAGACGCCGGCTGAGCGGTCGGCCGTCGAGAAATAACTGGCAACTAGAAACTCTGATTGGGAACTAACCAACAGGCGAGAGCCGATCGCTCGACAAATATATATATATATATATTGTAGAAAATGACGGTGGATCAGTTATACACTGAAGAAGCCGTTGAATGACATCGCGCGCACTTCAGGCCATTGCTTCAGTGAGATGTAAAAAATGGGGAGCAATAAGTGGATTGTCAGTACGACTGTGATATGGAGGAGATCGTGTGTTGACGGAGAGATAAGAGATTATAGGCATTCGTGGAGCTAGCCAGCTGAACAGGATAGCAGAAAATAAAGGCAGAAAGTGGAGATATGTTGTTGAAGCCCCCTATGCTCCACTTGGAACCCAAGGAAATAATAACAGCATACATTTATTCCGCTTAATGAATTTGAACAAACAAAGAACTGCAGTTTCAGCAGAATGAAATCGTACCATCCTTTGTTTATTTCGTTGCCTTCTTGTCAGCTGCTTACAGGGCAAAGACATTATTAAATATATCTACAACAACAATTTTGATATACTTGCAAAGAGTTCATTTTAAACAAAAATCAATCGATCAATATACGCATACACTAAAAATATATACATATACATATATATGCAATATTAAACACTATTCCGAACATTTTGATTTGATACTAGTAACTAGTGTGATGTGTATCTAGTCCTCTCATTGGTGCAGACTGTATTCTTTCAGTTGGGTTGTAATGTGGCCACCATTCTGGGTAGCTCGCCATCACTTCGCAAGTTGATTTGATGATATAGATGGTTGGAGGCAATCGGCAGGAAGACTTGGACCTAGGTTTCGTGCTAGTCGCCACTCGTCATTCAACAAGGCGTGTCTGCAACCTTGAATAAACTCATGTCCCTTCTGAGATTCGAACCCGCGTCACCCAATCACCCGTTACCACTGAGCTATTTGATTGCCTCCAACCGTCTAATATCAACGTGCAAGGTGATGGCGAGCTACCCAAAATGGTGGCCACATTACAACCTGACTGATAGAATTCAGTCTGCACCAATAAGAGGACTAGACACATCATACTAGTTACTAGTGTCAAATCAAAATATCCACTACAGTCATACAGGGTGTCAGTCGTGAGCACGAATAGCTCAGTACTAGCGTCTCTGACTGCAGTACTCACTGGGTGACGCGGGTTGGAATCTCAGAAGAGACATGAGTTCCTTCAAGGTTTTAGACACGCCTTGCTGACTGATGAGTGCAAACTAGTACGAAACCTAGGTTCAAGGCTTCCTGTGGCCGATTGCCTCCAACCATTTGGTACTATTCCGAACAATAATAATCATACACAATGGAAACTTTACAGCATTTCGCATTCAGATGAAACACAGATGAAAATATCCAGTTACCAGGTAGGGTAAAGAAAGACTGATAACCGCTTCTTTCTGAACGCATAAATCAGGTTTCAGGCGCTTGATAGAAATCACTTCAGCAAACTTGATTAGAAATGAACTCTTTTGCCTATTGATAATTTTGAACGACTTTTTGACGTCCACCTCATGACCCGAAATAATAATAATAATTTGACAAAGGTGGATGCTTAAACTATTTAAAATCATTTATTTACTAACTTTACTGTGACAAATATATATATATATAGTTAGTTAGTTAGTTAGTTAGAAAGTAGATCAGAAATATAAATTATGCAAAAGAAAGCTAATATTTTTCAAAATATTCAATGTTTCAACGAACTTACCTTTGCTGGTTGATTTAAAATGGCAAGATTATATCCAATTTGAAATGATGATCCAAAACAAGTGGTAAATACAGTCAGCATCAAAGTGCTGGTTAAACCGTACTTCTAATAGATATTTAATTTAATAGGAAAAATAAAATATTTAAGGAAAAATTATTACTTCAAAGTTCATTTCGCAGTCTAGTAGTTATGTTGGTTTTTATTTTTACTAAGTTAGTTATCCAGCTAATAATACTAATAATTTATCGATCAGTGATTTTTAAATTAACTCAAGGTCACTAAGAATTTTATATCTCACAGGATACAGTTAAAAATATCAATATCAAATACACATTTAACCTTGAGTCCATACTGCAAATACAGAAGAATTTCGCTGTTTATCTTTGTATTGCCATGTCTAGAACAATGATGCTTGTCAGAGGGATTACAAAGAGAGGTAGAGAGAGAGATGTTACATCAGCACAAAATATGTAACATTAAAGTAAGACGTTCTCTTTTTGATTAGATACTAGTAACTAGTGTGACGTGCACATTGATTTGATGATATTAGATAGTTGGAAGCAGTTGGCCACAGGAAGCCTTCCCGGGACCTAGGTTTCGTGCTAGTTGCCACTCATCAGTCAACAAGGCGTGTCTGCAACCTTGAAGGAAGGAACTCATGTCCCTTGTGAGATGCGAACTCGCGTCAACCAGTGCCGCCTGCAGTCAGAAACGTTACCACTGAGCTATTCGGGCTTGCGTCCAACTAACTGTCCAATATATCATCAAATCAATGTGCACCGTGATGGAGAGCTACTACCTAGAATGGTGGCGACATTGCAAAATGCTGACTGATAGAATTCAATCTGCACCGAAGAAAGGACTAGACACACATCACCCTAGTTACTAGTGTCCACTACAGTCCTACAGGAGGTCAATCACGAGCCCGAATAGCTCAGTGATAACGTCTCTGACCGACTGCTGGCGGCACTGAGTGTTGACGGGGATTTGAATTTCAAATGGCAAATGAGTTCCTTCCTTCAAGGTTACAGACACGCCTTGCTGATGAGTGCCAACTAGCAGGAAACCGAGGTCCAGGCAAGGCTTTCTGTGGCCGATTGCCTCCAACTATCTAATATATCAGCAAGATATTCTCTATTTATAATTATGATTCCCTTGAGTTCCTAGTGGAACATACAGCTTCAGCAATACATCTCAACTTTGCTCTGTTTTCTGCCGTTATCTACATCTGGCCAGCTCCACGATTGACCAAACTGTCTCATCTCTTCCTCGCCACACTATATCCTCTATGTCATCCTCCCACTGACGACCCACTCGGCGCTTCGCACTTGGATTCCACTCGAGTAATGGCTTAGCGTGTGATGTGATTCGGCGGCCTTCTCAGAGTATGCTCGATCCATCTTGGCTCTCACCTGTTGGTTTGTTCCCAATCACAGTTTCTTGTTACCAGTTCTCCCTCCCGCCGGCCTGCCAGCCATTTGATCTTCAGTATGGATCCAGCCAGCCGATCAAGCAGCTGTTGATGAAATTTTGCTGCAACTGGTTGTTGGAAATCCTATCTCTTTTTATAGATTTAATATTACAAACACTGAAGACGTTTCTTCACGTTATGAGGGTATGTTATCAGAAATGACTAAAGTTCTAGTGCTAATTAATCAGTTGGAGAACTTCATCATGAGCTGACATTAGTTATGGGACTTGTTGGAAAACTAGCTGTGAATACTGGATAGCCAGCTGTCTCGTCAATCTAGTTTGGGACAAACTCTTCATAAGTACGCACCCACCACCAGGGTTTGAAGAGTCCAAAACTAGGCTGACGAAACAGCTGGCTGTCCAGTACTTCGTGGTGGTCTACCAATAGCTTTCGAAATGATGTCAATTCATGATGAAATCCTCCAACCAATCAAATTGAGTTCTTACAAAAACTAATCCTAATATTTTGATTGGACACTAGTAATTAGTGTAAAGTGTCTAGTCCTTTCTTTGGTGCAGACTAGATCCAAGAATGGTCTTCCTGCCGATAGCCTCTAACTATCTAATATCTTCAAACCAATCCTAGTGATAAGGTTTTGTTTTTAATCTATTAGATTAATTCTATTTTTTAAATTACACTATTATTATTATTTCCTTTAATTCCAAGAGGAACATGGGGTTTCAGCCGCGCACGTCTCCATTGCGTTCGGTTCTCTGCTAAAGTTTTCACTTGACTCCGAATCTGCCTACATGCTTTCATCTCCTCTTCACATGACGTCCTCCAAGTCACCGTTTGATGAGCAACTCACCACTTCCTTTTCGGGTTTCACTCGAGCGATGGCTTGTCTAGTGATGTCTTTTGATAGTTTCCTCAGAGTATAGCCAGCCAATCCATCTCCGTTTCTTCCTGCTTATTTTTTCTACAATCGGTTCCTGCTGAGTTGGTTCGTTCCTAGAGATCTCTGTTGTTGATCGTTTCTGGCCAGCCATCTGATGTTGGGTGAAGTATTGAGCAAAGGACGCTGGTAATGAAGGTCTGTAGTTGGTTTGAGGCGCTTTTTATGACGAACCAAGTCTCTGATTCGTATAGTAGCACTGACTTCACACTGAAGTAGAAAATCCGGACCTTATTTTTGATGCTGATTGCTGTTGAGCTCCACGCAGACTTGAGAGTAATGAAAGCTTGTCTTGCTTTCCCGATCCTTGATTTGATATCCCCGTCAGTTCCACCTGTATTTGAAATGATGCTGCCTAGGTAAGTAAAGGAGATTGTTTTTTTCAGGTTCCTCCCATTTATGCCGATTGTTGTGTGTTGTTGTTTTTACTGTTACACTAGGAGAAGTAATTTTCGTTAAATATGCGTTATATGTTGCTAATAGATAGTCAAAGTCAGTCAGCCACAAGAAACCCTCCTGGGACCCAGGTTTTGTGCTAGTTGGCACTTACCACTAGTCAGCAAGGCAGGCGTATCTGAAACTTTGGTGGAACTCATATACCTTCTGATATTCGATCACACGTCTCATCCAACGGCACCTGTAGTCACATACATTAGCACCAAACTATCCGAACCTCAAGGCCTGCTGCAGCCTAAAGCCTCCAACCATATAATACCAACAATTCACAGTGCACCTTGATGGCACGGTATTATTTAGTGTTATGGTGGTCACATTACAAGCTTGACTGACAACAGTCAATTCAGTCTACACCAAAAAGATAGGACTGAACACGCTACACTAATTACTGACTAGTGCCCAATAAGAAGACGAGAATACGAGAGAACCAGGCAGGCTTTAGATCACGAAGAGGGTGTATTGATCATATCTTCACCCTTCGAAACATTCTGGAACATAATCAACACTGGCGTTCAACAGTCAGCATATTTCTTGACCGCAAGGTGGAATTCGATTCTTTCCGCCGAGAGGTACTTTGGCGATGTTTGGTTGTGAAAGGAATGCTACTGAAATACATTGCACTGATCAACGCACTCACTCTACTCGAACTCATGCAGTCGGCCAGATGAGGGCTTACAGCGAATTTTTATTTAAAGTGGTGACAACCAGTTCAGTGGTGTCCGTCAAGGATGCTCACCAATGTACCCATTTCTATTTAATTTCATTATAGAAGTACTAGTGGACTACTTAATCCTAACTAACTGCAGCGACTTACGGATTGTTACCATCAGGGAATATTTTCGTTCACTTAGAATATGCAGATGATATAGACACTGACAAAATAGAGCGAAGTCTTCTGAACACCTTGAGCAGTGACCAATATTCGAATGTTTGGCATGCGAGCGATTCGCTCCTCTTGTTGAATTTAAGATGATGAGGCTACAGGACTAAACTCGACTGGACTTAATTATACTGACTGACTTCTAACTTAGAAATACAGAGTGAAATCTTTGGTGTGGCATGTTGACCGCTTCACTTATTTGGGAAGTCGCATCTACCAGTCCCATCAGCGGGTTGATCACTGACGAAATCTCAACATGGATACAGAAGGCGCGCCCTGCATATGCCAGTTTACGCCATCTGTGGCTTAGTAGACATGATATCCGTTTGAATATCGACCAACGAACGTGTGTACTACTCAGCACCACTTCTCTTCGTCCTCCTTTATGCCTGCGATTGAGACCGGACCATTGAGAGTGAAAGACATGAATTGCCTGACTGGCTGGCTGGCTAGCTTTGTTTGATCAGAGGTGCCTGATTTCTATCTTCTATGTGTGTTCGGTGGTTGGTGATGGTATAATGGGGTGAGCAATATTGAGGTTAGGCATTCATCGAGTGCTAGGTAAGTGGGAGGGGAAATCAATAGACGGCGTGTTTGTGAAGTTACATGGATTGCAAGAGATGGTTTGGACATGTGTCACGCATGCCTATGCGTCGCCTTCCTTAACCCACGGACAGTGTTAGCTGACATATAGTCAGGTAAGAAAACACCGAGCACGTGGTGGTCAAACCAAAATATGGCTTCATCAGTCAATGGAGTAAATCCACAACAGTTAGTTCAAGCCAGTCAGGTAGAGAGGTGTAAGCGTTTTGATTGTTTAGGGTCCTCAGGATGGTTCACCAATGGCGCGGACTGGAGGCAATTGATGATATGGCTCAAAATCGTCGTTATCAATGTCTGGTGCAGATGCATCCACTCCTTGTGACTTATAATATCCAATAAACCTATATGCTTCTTCGATGTTACTTTTCTTTTTGCCTCATATCTCTGTCTACTGTCTCTATTTTGCATTGCCGTTTACTTTCATCTCTTGCTTTGTGTGCTACATTGAGTGAGTGTGGCGACTCGAACTACTGCACATTGGTGCAAAATTGTTCTACGTTGAATCTAGTCAGTCAGTCAATAAGAATACATTCTGTTCCAGCATTTCCGAAGTATTAGAAAGGGTAATATACGTAGGTTTGTAATTTTACTAGATTAGATAAAACTTGGTTCCAGAAAAAGGTTGGAGAAAATAAGACAATTATAATAGTGATATTTGTAGCTATTCAGCACAAAAATCTTATATGTCCAAACCAAGTGCAATAAGCAAAGCTGACAAGGGAAACGTCACTGTGATAATGAACAGAACGGATTATGAAAAGGAGGCGATTGAACACCTATCTGAAGGACCATACTTACTGGTTATTGAAGAGAAGAAGAAAACTACCAAATTCAACAAAATGAAAATAAATACAAACAGACAGACTCCTTCAAGAAACGAAAAGTAAAATTGGAAATTCTCTATGGTTTACACTAAAACCAAAATCTTACGTACC